AACTCGTACATTTGAATGCGTGGCATGGCTAGGATACACATTTTTCGCGAACACGGCGGCAGATGCCAGTTTTGAGCTTTGATCAGAAATTTAATGATACTTTGTATGGTCATTCATGTCGGTTTGACGGTGGTTATCCTCCTCCTCCTCCTCCTCCTCCTCCTCCTCCTCCTCCTCCTCCTCCTCCTCCTCCTCCTCCTCCTCCTCCTCCTCCTCCTCCTCCTCCTCCTCCTCCTCCTCCTCCTCCTCCTCCTCCTCCTCCTCCTCCTCCTCCTCCTCCTCCTCCTCCTCCTCCTCCTCCTCCTCCTCCTCCTCCTCCTCCTCCTCCTCCTCCTCCTCCTCCTCCTTCTTCTTCTTCTTCTTCTTCTCCTCCTCCTCCTTAAATACCCATAGAGTATCCAACAGGGTTGTTCTTGACGGCACAAAAGTCCTCTAACTCTGTATAACTATACCACAGACAAACAGACATAACACTTAGAAGGAAATTCTTCAAAAATATCGTCGAGCCAAGGGGTAAGTCACTCAGCAAATTGTGCCGCATTTAGATTCGGCACAGCTGGGGCACATCCATCGGTATATCTTCGGAACAATCTCGTAGGCATTTGATTGTTGTATATTCAGCTATAGTGTAGCTGTTTGGCGGTATATTAAGGAACATCCTCTAATTAAATATTCCAGAGGAATTCATATCAGCAGTTCACTCTTCGGTTCACTTATAGATTTAAATCCGAAATGCCGCTAGATCGATTTATCCTTGCGATTTCAAACCAAAACCATAGACAAACAGACATAACTCTTAGAAGAAAATTCTTCAAAAAATATCGTCAAGCGTATTTTACATGCGCACTAGCATCATCTATCATCCACATTCCCAAGCATTGATGTGCAACCAGAGCATCCCTCGTTTATGCCATTTTTTCACCAGTTGCTTTTCCCTCGTTCTGTCAACGCGTCAGCTGTGTTGAATAAAAACAAAACAGATGGAAGTCAGTTATGTCGGTTCTACTAAATTTTCCGTAGATCTATAAAATTGATTGAATTTTGCAGATATAAGGATCCGTAGGAAAAATTCACAGAAGCTAAGACTTTTTTTAGGGATTTGTTTTGTTTGTTTAGTGTGCTTTTTCTTTTGCTGGGAACAAGTTTTTAAACAAGGTAATGCATCACTAATTAGTGCCCTTTCTACCCCCGCTCATCACTTTAATGTGTGTACAGCAAAAATATATAATATGTATCAATCAGTGAAATTCATGGTGAAGTATTAAACATCAATAACTGGTAAAAGAGGTAAAAGTTGATAGAATATTACAGTCATCAACATGATTTGTTCTTGAATTCTGTGTAAATCGTACAGTGTAATATTAGGAACGGAATGACTAATGTGCAGCGCTTTTGAAGTAATATTCAACTACTTTTTTCTGTATTCGTCAGACGTAGTATGTGTCTCCAGTGGGATGCCTTGACCACTTATCATTTTCAAGAGCTGACATCTACTAACTAGACGTGAAAAAGAACTGGCATCACTGATAAGTTCGAAATGTGGTGGCTTGCTCAATGCTTCAGTGGCGCCACCATGAAAAATGCAACACATTCCCAACTAAAACATTATTTGCGATGAATGTGATTGTGAGTGTTATGTCTGTTTGTCTGTGCCAAAAGATTCAAGGTGTCAGAAATACCGGGTTGCCGGAATGGGTATTTTACAAACAATCGCAGCTTGCTCTATGACGGGCACAATCGGCGTACCTGCGGAACACTGAAAAAAAATATAACCCAAGATTGGTGTGTGGAGTGACCTACCCCTTCAAGTTCCATAAAGCTCAAATAAAGTTCCGACAGAACCTTCAAGTTCCATAAAGTTCAAATAAAGTTCCGACAGAAATTCCACGTTCCATAATGTTCAAATAAAGTCCTTTAAAACTTTATCCCAGGCAACCAAAAGTTTCGCATTCAACGATAAAACCCACTTTGAAGTTCCATAAAGTTCCAACACAACTTTTTGGCTACTTTAGAAGCTATAGAAAGCACACGAGGAACTTCAGACTCTTGAAGTTCAAAAAAAGTTTCAAAAAGCATCCCTAAGCACTTCTTAGGAGCTTCAGGCAAAGCTGAAAACATGGCCATAACAAAATTCCGAAAATTCCCAGCGGAACTTCTTAGCAACTTTAAATTATCTTAAAAGTTCCCTGCGGAACTTCTTAGCAACTTGAAAGTTTCTAAAAAGTTCCATCACAGCTCACATGAAGCAATCTGCACAAGTCATTTTTAGGAACCAAAATAAAGTACGTAAATATCTGAGTTTATGATAACTTGGCCTTGTAAAGTTTATTCGATTGAGCCTGTACAAATAAATTAATTAATAAAAAAAAATTCTGAGTACTGCGCAGTAAATCGATTTCATTTTGCAAGCCAATGGAAAACTGCTTGAAAGTTTGTTCGGGTTTAAAATTGTTTTGGTCTTTCTCAGTTGATTCCCGCCAAAAGCTTTGAGCCAGGAGTGCTCGAGCCCCCATGACTCTATCAAAGTTTGTTTACATCCATGTTTCGCCAAAGTATGTTTTACTGATATTGAAAACGCAGCTGAGTCATAAAAACTATGCTGGTTTTTACACTTTCATCATTGAGCCTGTTGGTTTTTGTCTTTGAGCTTACAATTAAGAATGTGTTATGAAAAAGTTTGAATCATTTTTATGAGATTGCAATGCTTGACGAGAGGTAAGAACAGTAACTGAGTTTATTTGCTTCTGAATGTTTGGCTCCCGTTTGACAGTTCTGACTGGCTCCCAAGTGACAAGCACATTGAGTGAGTCCGCAGTACCCAGGTAAATATGAAATGATCAGTGGCTCAAATAAATCATAATTCTTATATTTATGCAGTTAACGGCGCCGGTGGTGTAGTGGTAAGCGTGATTACCTCTCACCCCAACAGGCCTGGGTTCAATCCCAGTCGGCGCCGCCGGGATGTTCTGAGGCATAACATCTCTGATCACGCCTTCCTTCGGATGGGAAGTAAAGCCGTTGGTCCCCGGTTCATGAGTTGATGGGTCGATAGGTAGGGTCCAGGTGTAGGAGCTGCCTTCCTGGCACGTCGGTAGCATTGGTGCTCAGCACGGAAAACAAGATCGACGGAAAAAACAAAACAAAGGAAAAAAAAAAAAAAAATATTTATGCAGTGCATCAATATTCAATCCAAACATAAAAAAATAAAGATCAATTTCCTGCATTCAAACCCGTGTATTTGGCATGCGATCTACGAACGCTAACCACTGTGCCACAAGTGGTTGGAATACAATGCGGGCAAACACCAAATTAAAATTCATCAAGGTGTTGTATTTCGTATTCAAGTCAAGCAGCTTGCACTGAAAACTTCAACAGTAGGCGGGACAACAGTTCACTTTAATATATCTCAGATGGCGTAGCGTTTCGTTCTGGGGCTCTCACGCAGAAGGACTGGGTTTAATTCTTCAAACAGCTCCAATACTACTTCTAACACTGATAAACCAATCACTTGCATAAAGACCTGACTTAAAAATTAAATTTCATAAAAGTACGAACTAAATATAAAATTGGTGTAGAGGACAAAAATCTTTTTTTAATATATTTTCTAAAAATTCCGTTCAAGTTCCGCCAGAAGCTGCTAAGAATGCTCTTCAATTATGGTACCGGAACTTTCAAGTTCTTATAACAACTTAAAAATAATGCTGCTTAGAATTCTATAGACCACCTTCAACCAAGCTGCTTAAGCCACAAATAGCCTTTTAACAGAACTTTTGGTTACTTTGGTATGTAAGATGAAATGTGGAGGCTCCATGAATAAGTATTATTGCACCAGGTAATATAAAAATATTCTCCATAAACCAGGAGAAATGAAAAATAAAAAAAATACAATTTTCCCTAAAAAATAGTTAACTGTTCCATAAAAAATATGAAATGGGCCAATAGAAGAGATGAAATATTCCATAAACATCGGTGATTTGTATTGGCTCATTTCATATTGTTTAGGGAACAATTCATATTTTAGAAGCTTCTATAGGGCGACCCCAGCGTAATGGTTAGCATCCATACCTCTCACGCCAAAGTCACGAGTTCAAATCTCACCCCCGGACAAGTCACGAATGACCCAAGAGCGTTAAAGTGACTATAATAATAAAAAAGAAGGTTCTATTGGACACGGTTTACGGAGTTGTAACATGTTATATGATAGGTGATAACATAATCGTTCACACTATGCTCTTGGTGATACAAATTGACAACTCAGCGCTTGCTATGATTACAAATGATTTTGTATATGTTGACTGTACTTGTACGAGTTGTTTCTTTTTTCAAAGTGCGAAAATGGTGAATCCAGACTTTACTTAGAAAGAAAGAGATTGAAGTCAAGTTGAACAAGGGAATCTTCATTTTACTTAACCAAATTAAATGTTTCATAAAAGCTCAACGGAGCACTAACTGCCCTCAAGCGCCCATAAAGGAACTGTTAAAGTAATCTCATGTCTATGGATGTTGATTGGGTTTGGTTGAAAATCTAGACTTCCTTTCGCACGAGCCCTCCAGATCTTTGACGTACCAAACCACATCCACTGAAGGTCAGAAGTCCGCATTTTCTTTCCACTTCAGTAGTGTAACTTCTCACAACGACACTTCATAATCTAAAAAGTATCATGTTGCGACGGATCGCCACTGCGGCAGCAATCAGCAGCAACAGTTTAATAAACACTTCCCATCAATAAAACAACAAACCCTATTTGCACAGATTTGCACTGCAGCTGGGGAGCCGCGGCCGTAGCGTGACTTGTTCCATTTAAATCATTGTCACTCATCGTTCACCGCCCATGCCATGCCATGACAAGCCACTATTACAAAACGTGTGTGACTTAACACGTGCCATTTATCTGTCCAACCAGCTGCCTACCCTGTCCTATGTTTTGAAAAATATTTCACAACTCCAGATAACGACTGTTTACTAATCAGTGCTACTTCAATCTGTTCTTTACTTACAGAGATGCCACCTCCAATTCCAAGAGACGCTCGCCCAATGCACAAAACATTGTCAAAGAGCTGGCACAGATTGGCATTTTCGATCAGATGCAGTTCTTCAACCAGAGCACCCCGTTCCAGGTTGCCTACCATCAGTCCGGCGGAAAGTTTGACCATTTCAACGAGATTCGATTCTTCAGCTGCAAGAAACTGCGCTACATCTGGAGCAAGGAATCCAAGCGATTCGTTAAGCTGACCGGTTTGGATGTGCTCGTACCCAGCGTGAGCATCCACCACAACAAGGGCCTGTCGGCTTACGAGCAGAGCATCCGTCGGTTGGTCTACGGAACCAACGAGATTCTGATCCCACTAAAAGGCGTCGTCACGCTACTGTTCCTGGAAGTCCTGAACCCATTCTACGTGTTTCAAATTTTTTCCGTGTGCTTGTGGTTCGTCTACGATTACTACTACTACGCTACGGTGATTATCCTGATGAGCGGCTTCGGCATTACGGCATCCATCATCCAGACGCAGAAAAATCAGAAGGCGCTGTACTCGACGGTCAAAAATAGCGACACGGCCACGGTCGTTCGGGACGACTGCCAATCGGAACAGATTGAAACCAGGTTCCTGGTGCCGGGTGATGTGGTGGAAATTCCGGCAACCGGGTGTACGATGCAGTGCGACGCCGTCTTGATCTCGGGAAACTGTATCCTGGACGAATCGATGCTGACGGGGGAGAGCGTTCCAGTTACGAAGACTCCGCTACCGTTGAAGCGAGATTTGAACTACGACAAGAAGGAACATGCCAGGCATACGTTGTTCTGCGGAACGAAGGTCATCCAAACTCGCTACATCGGAAGCGAGAAGGTTCTGGTGAAGGTGATCAACACCGGGAACATTACGGCCAAGGGTGGATTGATCCGGTCGATTCTGTACCCTCCTCCGGTGGATTACAAGTTCGAGAAAGATTCGTACAAATTTATCATGGTGCTAGCTTTCGCTGCTGGGTGTGGTTTCCTATACACTGTAGTCACTAAGATCATGCGAGGCGTGGGCGCTCTGAAGATTGTGGTCGAGTCTTTGGATTTGATCACGATTGCCGTTCCTCCAGCTCTGCCGGCAGCTATGACCGTCGGTCGGATGTACGCTCAGAAGCGATTGCAGAAGAACAACATCTACTGTGTATCACCGCGAGCGATCAACGTATCCGGTAGTATCGATTGCGTTTGTTTTGATAAGACGGGTACATTGACCGAGGATGGACTGGATATGTGGGGTGTTCTGCCGAAGGACTCCACCAATAACTTCCAGATTCCACTGACTCAAATTACCCGACTTCCGATGACGGAGCACTTGCTCGGCGGAATGGTAACTTGTCACTCGATCACCTTCGTCAACGGGGAAATGCGAGGCGATCCATTGGATCTGAAGATCTTCGAATCTACCGGATGGATTCTGGAGGAGGCAAACGTTTCCGATGAAACCAAGTACGATTTGCTGTTTCCGACGATTGTGAAGCCTCCCCGAGGTGATTCGAAGGATGATCTGAATCTGGAACTGGACGTGGCATATGATAATTCCAACGATATCGGCATTGTGCGGGAGTTTTCATTTACCAGTGCTCTTCAGAGGATGTCGGTGATCACGAGGAAGCTGTCGGACAATCACTTCAACGTGTACGTCAAGGGGTCACCCGAAATGATCAATTCACTTTGCAAACCGGAGAGTATCCCGGAGGATTTTTCTTCGAAGCTTGGGTTCTACGCGCAGCAGGGCTATCGGATCATTGCGATCGCTTACAAGTCGTTGGATAAGAAGATGAACTACTCCAAGATTCAGAAGGTGTCCCGCGAGAAGGTGGAATGTGATTTGGAGTTTTTGGGATTTGTGATATTGGAGAATCGGTTGAAGACGGATACGGAGGAGGTGATCGAGAGCTTGAATGTGGCCAACATCCGGTGCATCATGGTGACAGGGGATAATCTGCTGACGGCGGCAAGTGTGGCGCACGACTGCGGAATGGTGATGCCGGGGCAGAGTCTGGTGACGGTGACTGCTCATGTGGATAAGGCTATTCCGAACAAGTACTTCCTCAGCTATGATATAACGGGGCAACCGCAGCTGACCCAGTCGGACATAATCAACGACAACAAGGTTAGCGACGACAAGCGAAACGGTAACTATACGCAGATGACGCAGTCCAACAGTGTCAGCAGTTGCGAGACGGTCGATACATGCACGATCTCGACACAACTGAGCGGATTCGAAAAGGACGAGCACCGGATTGCCATCGAAGGTGATAATGGGAAGGATGTTTCGGGCAGTGCGCAGGGGGGATCGTTCCGGTTCGCATTGACGGGAAAGACGTGGGCGATTGTAAAGGAGCACTTCCCGGAGTTGGTACCGACGATCATAACTTTTGGAACGGTGTTTGCCCGAATGTCCCCGGATCAGAAGCAGCACTTGATCTCGGATCTGCAGAATCTAGGCTACTATGTAGCCATGTGCGGTGATGGAGCTAACGACTGTGGAGCGTTGAAGGCTGCGCATACTGGCATCTCACTGTCGGAAGCTGAAAGCTCTGTCGCTTCTCCGTTTACTTCGAAAAGCCCGACGATTGCGTGCGTTCCCAAGGTGATCAAGGAAGGACGAGCAGCATTGGTTACATCGTTTGGTATCTTCAAGTACATGGCAGCCTACTCGCTGGTGCAGTTTGCCTCGGTGCTGATCCTCTACTCCATCGATTCCAACCTGACGGATTTGGAGTTCCTGTATATAGATCTCTTCATCATTTCCGTGACAGCGTTCTTCTTCGGTAAAACTTCGTCCTACGATGGGCCGCTGGTGAAACAAGTCCCGTCAAACTCACTGATATCGCTTAGTCCACTGCTATCGCTAGCACTGCATCTGATCGTAGCACTGGGCTTTCAGGTTGCCGGTTGGTATCACATCCACGCCCAACCGTGGTTCACTCCATTCACCTACAGTGACGAGCTTGCACTGAACGATCTCGGGTGCTACGAAAACTACGCCATCTTCTGCATATCCTGCTACCAGTACATCATCCTGGCCATAGTGTTCTCCAAGGGAGCTCCCTACCGCAGGTCAATCTTCTCCAACTACGGTTTCCTGATCAGTATCATCGTTAATACTGGTATCTCGCTCGTCCTGACTCTGTATCCACCGGAGTGGCTCCAGAATCTGTTCCAGCTAGTCATCCCCGCGGAGGACATGACCTTCCGAGCCTACTTAGTCGGGTACGGGGTGGCCAACTTCATCATCGCGCTGTTCATCGAAAAGTTCATCATCGACGAGATTGCGTTCAAGAAGCTACGCTACCGCTGGCACAACATTGCCAAGTCCCGGCGCAAGTACTTACTGATCGAGCACAACTTCCGCAAGGAGGTCCAGCATCCGAGCGATTTTAAAACCGTGCTCGGCTGGTCCAGCGAGAAGTACGATTACTGACATCACCTCCAGTGGGTGATGAAGCTAGTGGCGAACATGGTGACGAACGACCGGCAAGAGTGGCTCCTGGGCCTGCAGCAGATCGATCTTCGGTAGCGATCGCTACGTCGTGTACTAGGGGAATAGTGAAGACTGCCTACGTACTGCGCTGCGGAATGCAGCTGCAAACTGCCAAGCGTATAGGTTTTGTTTTTTTTAGGTTTTTTTGAATGAAGCGAGTAGTTGCATGCATAGGATTTTTTTTTTAAAGAAATTAAGAGCTCAGAATATTTGTTTTCCGGTGATTAGAGTTGTAAGTGCCATAATTGTATTATGTTTTCATTAGGACCCAAGGACACGCCCAGGCAAATAAAGTTTTCACTTGTGATAGCAGAATGTAGATGGCAGTGACGAGTTGTGCGAGTTGAATAATGACGACGGAGAGAAAATACAGGAAATATTGGCCGCACGCTGTGCAGAATCGAAATCAAAGGAAGACAATAATCAAAATTTGTACAGAAAAGAAGTAACAGTGATGCCTGTAATTAGGGATAATTTCCAAGCCGGCTTTCGGAGTTCTTCTTCGCTTCTGCACGCGGAAATTTGATGCACATCCGACATGAAAGAGGGGAGATTTTTCGGTACAAGGAAATGGAACTTACCTTAAACTTCTGTGGGATCAAGGATCCCAGAACGAAATAGCACTTAGGCAAAATTTGACACGATTTTAGCATTTAAATCCTAACGCAACTGAAACTGGTTGCACGGCAGTTATTTCCACTGCTGCGCAACATGAGTGTAACATACTTTGGATCTTCATCACCACACGGTCCGAACTAAAATGAGAAAAGGAAAAAGACAATGACTTCACCAGAAAACCAAAGAACGTACCCCGCTGTGAAAAGCATCAACGCTTCCTTGACTCAGGTTGTTTACATTTGAATCAAAGAAATTTTGATCTGCAAGTAAGTAAACCAAAACAAAAAACAGCACAAACTTTCAAAACTCACTTCCACTCATACGCAGCAGTTGTTTGTTTCTAATAATAACGGTTACTACTTGCTGATGACGTAGTCCTAACCTAATTTATTTGTCGATAGAATGGTAATCATGCATGAGAAAAGGAGAGAAAAAGAGAGAAAGCAAGTGTAAACAAACTGAAATTCGAAAATCTCCCCGATAGCTGTCAAAATGTGTAATTATCATAAACAAAAAAACAAAGCACTTTATCCTTAATACTACCGATAGAATACATATCTATCGATAATTCTTAACCAAGGAAAGGAAAAAAAACAGTAAGAAGTGTTCCAAACAACTCTACTTTCGTAAAAACATAATCTTAAATGATAAACACTCGCAAATTTTACAGCGAATTTTGCGTAAAAAAAGATTTGCAGTATTCGTTTCAAAAGTGCGAAAAGGAAGAAAAACATACACAAACAAACCGACACATTCTCACTATCTTTACTGTATAATCCGTATAATCATCTTGACGAGTGAACATTCAGAACGCTTTTCATCTCGCAGTCAAAACCTAGGACACAAGTAGCAGCCCATCTCGTTTGCCGGAAGAGATAGGTATATGTAGGATTAGCGATTTCCAACGTAGAACAGAACGGAGAAAAAGATAACAATACATCTCATACACACACATACACACACACACATAAACACACACACACACACACACACACACGCGCGCGCGCGCGCCTAGCTTGAATTATACAACAGTACTAGTACGATTATAGTTTCTTGAAATTTAGCAAAACATTCACGGCAAAGCTCGGTGTTGGTCAGGAATTTCATTTAGTCATGGCATTCTTCAACGAAACCGGGAATCGACTTAAGGATTATTTATACGAAACACACACACACACACACACTTGCACACACAGACATACACAGAACCACTACCATGAACGATTTATGACCTCTGATTTACAAACACTTTGTTAGAAAACTTCTTGATTATTTCGACTACTGTTGACAGTCGATAGTCGTCGAAGGAAAACAACTTTAAATAGCGGTAATTCATCATTAAAAATGATAACTATATAAGGCACATTGAAAGGTTACTCACAGAGAAAAAAAAAAAGCAAACAAACAAACAAACAGGACTCCTCCTCACTAGATCATGAAATACATGTGTTTGGTTTTTTGGACCGTTAATGTAGCAATTTTTTCACTTAAATTGTAATAAATAATAGTAATTTATTACTGCAGGAAAAAAAAATAATACTGTAAAGAAATGTGCAACTGCTTCAAATTGAGTGCTGATTTGGCAGGTTGGGTCGTAAACAGTGCATATATAAAAGTATACAATCTCACTCAGCAGCAAGTTCACGCCATTGAAAGTGTAATAGGTTCAAAGATTGGAAACAGATAAATACAAGGAAAGCAAGAAACTAAACTAAAAACTGTGTACATATACCGGGATATATTTTACAACAACAAATAAAGGTTATTATATCACGAGATCCGAACGGAGTGTTTCTCATTGGAAATATTGTGAAAATATCCAAGATTCGTGATGATGATCATGATATGGAACTACCCCTCACTGCAGTAAGACAACTGTCGGTAGACTGTGGACTATCCTTCCGACAACAGGATCAAACAACCGGTCAAAAAACAGGCTATCCAACAGGAGGATGTCCCAATGAGTGGGGAGAAGAGCCCGCTCTCTTTTCACGAAATGTTTAAGACAAAGAGTTGGCATTTCCACTCTCCCCATTTATTTCGCTTCAATCGTATCCTCCCGTACCCAGCATATAATGTTTCATATAATAATGGAATGAAAGTTAAGAACGAAAATAAAGTAAAGATCTCATCCGATATGTTGCTAAGGAATCCATGACATCACGATGATTTCGAAGAGCTCCCATAGATATGCTGCCGGTACTTCTTCAACCGGTGTTAAAAACAGCTCTCTCGTCTTTCCTTCCTCACACAGCAGCGTTAACCTCCAAAAACCACGAAGCACACATTAACTGCTATAACTAGAGAAATCTCAGCAGAGAAAAATAGGACTGTGTTAACTTTCCATCACCAAGCACTCGATCGACAACGGCTTCAATTCACCAGTACACAGTCTGAAGACACAACGCAGGCTCCTCACCGGCCGAATCCACTCGCGATCAACGCCGAAATCATCGACAACTTCTTCTTCTTCTTTCCTTTATTTAACGTCGATCTCTGTTCCGCAATCTAGTGCCAATCACCGACGGACATCGATTGCCACCCATTGACGGTAATCGAATGTGCAGGAAGGCAGTTTCCACACCTGCGTAGGATATCGCACCCATTCAACACACATGGGCCGGGACCAACGGCTTTACTTCCCTTCCGAAGGAAGACGTGACCAGAGATTTTTATGCCTCAGAAAAATCCCACCGACCTCGGCTGGGATTGAGCCCAGACCCATTGGGATGTTAGAAAGCAGTAACGCTTACCACTACACCACCGGCGCCGGCACCGACAACCCCAGTGACTGAAAACAAACGCGTCTTATAGCGGCCACGGCACACTTCGATTGTATTTCTGAAACATAACCTCAACCCACAAACACGACGATGACAACATTTCGCAAGCGCCTTTTATCGTTGAATGCGGAACTTTTGGCTGCTAGGGCAGTTTCAGAGGACTGGAGATCTGGACAAAAATCGTGAAATGGCCGATCTGAATAGGCAGATTGCTTCCAGAATGGACTCACTCCGAAATTAAAGGTTCAGGCGTGTTGCTCTGAATCTGAAATTCTGGAAGGCAGCCAAGGTCTTGAAAACTCATCCCAAACCCGTTCCATCTATCAGAAATGAAAATGATGACAATCGGCTCTTAAACAGCTCAAAACTGTTCGAGATTATGATAAATGATACCCTGTTTGCGTGTTGCAAAAAGAATATCGATGCAAAACAACACGGTTTTTACCCGAAGCGCTCCGTGACCACGAACCTGGTGCAGTTTACTTCTGACTGTTTGCGATGCATGGATTCAGGATGGCAAGTCGATGCTGCATATATGGATCTAAAAGCTGCATTTGACACGATGGACCATAATATCTTGCTTGCCAAGCTGGAGATACTTGGCGTCTCGTCAACGTCTGTGGATTGGTTCAGATCTTACTTGGTGAATCGCTATGGACGGGTTAAGATTAGCGCGTCGGAATCGAATGTTTTCTCAAACAACTCGCCTTTCTGATACCATCAGGATGCCGCGTTTTCTACGCAAACGATACGAAAATCTAAAAAATTATTAAAAGTCTCTCGGACTGTTGGGATCTCCAGAATATGTTAGGTATTTTTGCTGACTGGTGCTCAAGAAATTTGATGAGTCTATATGTACATTGAAAAATGAAACACTATTTCCTATCACCGAAAAATCGAACCAATCATGTTTGACTATGTTCTCTACGGACGCTGTCTTGCAAGTGTAGAGCACATTAAGGATTTCGGTGTTACCTTGGACTGCAAACTCACTTTCAGAATTCACTACAATGACATCATCTCCAGAGCTAATCGACTATTGGGCTTTATTTTCAAAATTGCCGACGAGTTCCGTGACCCTCTATGCCTCTGGTCTTGTGCGATCCTTATTGGAGTCAAGCTTAGTGGTTTGGTGCCCTTTCCATGCTAGCTGGATCACTAGAATTGAATCCGTTTAACGCAAGCTTGTGAGATATGCTCTTCGTTTCCTCAACTGGCGTGACCCAACGAACTTGCCACCGTACGAGGAGCGTTGCCGTATCCTGGGAATCGAACCATTAGAGGTGAGACGGACGGTCGCTCAAGCTATGTTCGCTGGAAAGCTGCTTACGGGTGAGTCACTGGCTTACGGGTGAGTGTTCGGAAAAACTCAAAAACTTAAATCTCATGCATGAGTTTATGCGCCTATGAGTTTAGCCTTACAAAATTCAACGTCGCAAAAATCACCGATGAGTTTTCTGGTTCAAAAATTCATTGCTTTATATTTTGGCGTTATTCATTGTTATTACTATTGTTTGTGCATCGGGGGTTGGAAAACTAACACAACATGCATACGCATGATATCAATTGACTTTTGAGTGGTTTTTATGAGTTTAAAGGTGGAATGATTTTTCGGCGTTGTTGAATCTCAAGCGTGAACTTTGTTTTCCGCATTCGCACGCGAGTTTATTCTCGCAGGGAGGCTCAATGAATGAGATTTGAGAATGATTTTCCGAACACTGCGGGTGACATTGACTGTCCAACACTGCTGGCTCAGCTAAATATGTACGCCCCTGAGAGGCCTCTTCGTCAACGCGACTTTCTGTTTTTGGAACCACGGCGCCTAAAACACGAGCCAATTCGAGCAATCAGCCGACAATTCAACAACTCTAGATAGAGCTGGAATTAGGGCGTAACAGCTTTTGTAAAGAATGACTTCTCTCGATAATTTCTCGAAAGTCATGGCTCACCCTGGCAAATCGATATCACCATCGAGTAGGGAAGACTTTCTCTACCCGATGGATATGTTGGTTTGTGTAGGCGTGCCTTGAATTCTAAGAAATCAACGAGAGAAGTATCGGCGCCGGTGGTGTAGTGGTAAGCGTGATTACCTCTCACCCCAGAAGGCCTGGGTTCAATCCCAGTCGGCGCCGCCGGGATGTTCTGAGGCATAACATCTCTGATCACGCCTTCCTTCGGATGGGAAGTAAAGCCGTTGGTCCCCGGTTCATGAGTTGATGGGTCGATAGGTAGGGTCCAGGTGAGGGAGAGCTGCCTTCCTGGCACGTCGGTAGCATTGGTGCTCAGCACGGAAAACAAGATCGACGGAAAAACAAACCAAAGGAAAAAAAAAAAAAATCGAGAGAAGTCATTGTTTACAAAAGCTGTAACGCCCTAATTCCAGCTCCATCTAGAACTTCTTTTATATGTTTGACTTCAATGCATCAGCTGACGTGTTTCGTCATCGGATACCAGGCCTTTTCCGTACCGTTTACCGTAACTATTTAGTCTAAGTTTTATTCATTTAGACAATAATTGTCAGTTGAATTTTTCAATATGCAAATAAACAAATAAACAAATAATCACCCCACGGGAGAAAGTAAATGCGATCCGCGATCATGTCGCTTCATCGCATTTGCTTGGCTCAGACATACAAAGTCCGATCGAATATCAGATTGCGCAATGCGTTCAAAACCTAGATGCCTCCCGCCTCCGGTGGATAAGATTACAGTAACAGATTTGCTCAGCGCTGAAATGCACCAAGAACATGAAGACTCCCGAGTTTTACGGCATATTCAACTAAATTTTGAAGAGACTCAGCATGAAAGTGCAGTCTCTTCTAACCGCTATCTTCAACAGATGCTTGGAGCTGCACTACTTTCCAAGCGTCTACAAGGTAGCACAAATCATACCAATCCGCAAACCCGGTAAGGATCCAACATTGCCCTCAAGCTACAAACTAATCAGCCTCCTTTCAGCGCTGAGCAAATCGTTCGAGAAACTCATTCTCAAACGTTTGCTCAAGTTTGTCGAGCAAAACAACATTCTACTTCCGGAACAGTTTGGGTTCAGGAAGGGACACTGATCGTCTCTTCGACACAAGAATTTTCGATCTTCATCAAGAGGCGAACATTCCAAAATTAGATTTTAAAATTGCTGACATTAAAACTAGGTTTGTGCAGAAATGGAACACATCTCAACACCAATAACATATGCTAGAAAAGTGTCAGTGTTGACTTAGAAAAGCAGTCGATGGCAAATTTTGAAAAACTAATACTGAGAAATATATTTAATCATTGTAAAAAGGCCAATAATATTAGATTCAATGCAAAGAATAGGGCGGTTAAGCTACTTCGGACATATTATGCGCAGGGAAAGGGAACATCATCTTAGAAAAGCATTTCAATAAAAGTTCAATAAAAAGAAAGAAGGAAGGCCTAGTTTAACTTGGAAGGATTTTTTGGAGCAAGATAAAAATGGATATAGAGAATTAACAGAGAGAGATTGGATAGAGTTATTTAAAGATAGAAAAAAACTACAAGGGACAGATTGTATGGGATTGTACGCAATGGTGACGTAGGACTACGTGGTCTTATATAATAAATCTTATTTGTTAACTGCAGCAGGAGCTTATGTTATGTGTAGGAATAGGAATTTGAGCAGGGTTCTCTCTGTTTATACTCTTTAATATAACACGCTTGGCATAGATGGCCCACAGCAACTCACGAAGAGCTACTGATCCCGATCAATAGAGGTGTGGCTTCATCCTCCTTCTACAGATGCTCATGTGGGCTGCAGCTCGCTGCTAGCAGACAGCCTTTCGTTGTGTACTGGAGAACACCACCCTTTACCACGCGGTGATTGAATAAACACCGTTTGGTGAGACCGGATGAAATTCAACTTTGAAATCTGTGTTAGGGAAATCTCTTTTCGCATGCAATCGGTGATTATTTTAATTATCAAAGCAACAGTTCCATATTCGTGCAATTTTCAATGGTGAGTCTTAAATCAGAT